GTGGCCCCGAAATATTTCAATTTAGCATATCTCCACAACGAGTAGAAATCTCTGAATAAATGTTGAACAAAAAATTTTGAAAATCACAAGACCTTTCATTTGATATCAAGAAAAAGGGGCTGACCCCTCAAATTAAGGGCTCAGAGGGACCAAAAGTCTTTTTTCTACAACTCTCTAATGATCAAGATTTTGTTATACAGTACTGAAGCAAAAGTGTTTAACTTAACAATTTGCAACAATATATGATACAATTTTGATCATATGTTACGTAATTAGGGGTCAGAAGGGGCCAGAATATCAAATTTCTTATGCTTTATATATCGAAAAGGGGGAATATTTTGATAAGCAATATTGAACAAAAGTTGGTCAGAATAATGTTCTAAACATTATGCATACTTTGAATTTTTGTAAAACGGCCCCATTAAGGACTTGTAGGAGTGGCCCCTTAATATTTCCATTTAGCATATCTCCACAACGAATAGAAATCTCTGAAAAATGTAGAACAAAAAAACTTCAAAATCACACAACCTGTCATTTGATATTTAGAAAATGGGGCTGACCCCTCAAATTAGGGGCTCAGAGGGGCCAAAAGTCTTTCATCGATGACTCTCTAATGATCAATATTTTGTAATACATTACTGAAGCAAAAGTGTTCAACTTAACGATTTGCAACAATATATGATACAATTTTGATCATATGTTACGTAATTAGGGGTCAGAAGGGGCCAGACTATCAAATCTTTGATGTTTTATATATCGAAAAGGGGGAATATTTTGATAAGCAATATTGAACAAAAGATGGTCAGAATAATGTTCTAAACAACATGCATACTTTCAATTTTTGTGAAACGGCCCCATTAAGGACTTGAAGGAGTGACCCCTTAATATTTCCATTTAGCATATCTCCACAACGAATAGAAATCTCTGAATAAGTATTAAACAAAAAATTTTCAAAATCACAAGACCTTTCATTCGATATCAAGAAAAAGGGGCTGACACCTCAAAATAGGGGCTCAGAGGGGCCAAAAGTCTTTTATCTATAACTCTCTAATGATCAATATTTTGTAATACATTACTGAAGCAAAAGTATTTATCCTAACAATTTGCAACAATATATGATACAATTTTGATCATATGTTACGTAATTAGGGGTCACAAGGGGCGAGAATGTCAAATCTTTGACGCTTTATATCTCGAAAAGGGGGAATATTTTGATAAGCAATATTGAACAAAAGATGACCAGAATAATGTTCTAAACAATATGCATACTTTGAATTTTTGTAAAACGGACCCATTAAGGACTTGTAGGAGTGGCCCCTAAATATTTCCATGTAGCATATCTCCACAACGAATAGAAATCTCTGAATAAGTATTGAACAAAATATCTTCAAAACCACAAGACCTTTCATTTAATATCAAGAAAATAGGGCTGACCCCTCAAATTAGGGGCTCAGAGGGGCCAAGTCTTTTATCTATAACTCTCTAATGATCAAGATTTTGTTACACATTACTGAAGCAAAAGTATTAATCTTAACGATTTGCAACAATATATGATGCAATTTTGATCAAATGTTACGTAATTAGGGGTCACAAGGGGCCAGAATGTCAAATCTTTTACGCTTTATATCTCGAAAAGGGGGAATATTTTGATAAGCAATATTGAACAAAAGATGGCATGAATAATGTTCTAAACAATATGCATACTTTGAATTTTTGTAAAACAGCCCTCGTTAAGGACTTGTGGGGGTGGCCCTTAAATATTTATATGAAGCATATCTTCAGAAGGGAAAAGAAATTTCTGAATAAGTGTTGAACATAAAGGCTTTGAAATCACAAGACTTTTCATTTGGTATCAAGAAAAAGGGGCTGACTCATTAGATAAGGGGTTTAAAAGGGGCCAAAGTCTTGCATCTCTACCTCTTCAATGATCAATATTTTGTGATACATTACAGAAGAAAAGATATTCATCTTAACGATTTGCAACAATATATTATAAAATTTTGGTCATATCTTACGTAATAAGGGGTTGCTAGAGGCTAAAATGCTATATCTTTATGCTTTATGTCTCGAAAAGAGGGAGTATTTTTATAAGCCATATTAAACAAAAGATGCTCAGAATATCGTCATAAAAATCAGAAACTTGAAATTTTATGAAGGAAAACTAAATGACATTATCCTTTAACGAATATCTCAGTCAAAATCACATCTCATCTTATCGCTAAATTCAACGGAAGACCTACTCGTTGCTCGCAACGAGATCTCATCTAGTTAAGGTCTTCCGTCTTCAGCGGAAGACCTTACTGTTATTCTTAGGTTTCTTTTCCACAGTTTTTATTATTTTTTTTCTTACATATTTTGTGCACGCGAGTTCTCGAAAACGGCTTGATCGATTTTCATGAAACTTTCAGGACTGATAGAACATCACAAAATCTAGGTATATATTTTTTTGTTTTGATGACGTCACTTCCGGTTTCGAGATTTCTTCGATTTTGTTATTTTTAAAGGGTCACTTTGTCCGGCAATGTTCTCGAAAACCATTGAAGATAGAAGTGTGAAAATTTCAGGGATGCTAGAGCAACCTTTGGGGAAGTGCCTTTTGTATATCACAACTACCGGAAGTACGAAGCGCCGACGCTCTCAATGGCCCGAAAATAGTCCTATCAAGAATTTCAAAATTTTTAACACCTTTTCTACGATAACTTTTTACCTAGAAATATTTTGTTAAGACATGTAGAACAAGAGTAGTGTAAAATTACACGATCTATCAACTGATATCTCCAAAAAAGGGCTGGCCCCTAAAATTAAGGGCCTAGAGGGGCCGAAAGTTTTTCCTTCATATCTCAAAAAGTATTGAGAATTTGTAATACATCAAAGAAGCAAAGTTGTTTAAAATGTCAAGCTCAATCTATTGGAGTCGTCAAAAAACGTCCAGAGTCGTCACTTCCGGCCAAACCGGAAGTAGTCGGAAAACGCCTATTTTTGCGGTTCTTGACAAGTTTTGAGGTAACATATGTCTCTGGGAGCTTAAAAATTAATTTTCCGTCCGTCGTCGTCACTTCCGGTCAAACCGGAAGTAGCAAAAATGGTTTATTTTTGCATTGATTAACTTAGCTTCAGAGGATTCAAAGCATTTTTGGGCGTTATTTCTCATTTTTATTAAAAATGAAAGCTACTTCCGGTCAAACAAGACGAAAGACCTACTCGTTGCTTTGCAACGAGCTTTGCTCTAGTTATTATTATTTTTCTTCTCAGGAAAATTTTGTCCGCGAATGATCTTGTAAAGTACACATCCGATTAAGGGGAAACCTTTTTAGGGTAAGTGGGCATGTTATGTAGATTTGCGGAACGAAGGTCATTTTGCGCGCACGTGCTTGCAAGAGCGTGCACGTGCAACACGTGAAATGACCAATATACTTGAAATTGCCGTAACTTTTACATTTTTCGATGTAATGCTTTGATATTTAGAATATATAGACATATTATAAATGTAGGTAAGATGACATTGTCAACATGCCATTTTGTGTGCACGTGCTTGCAAGAGCGCACACGAGCAACACGTGAAATGACCGATTTAATTGATATCGGCATAAATTTTTACCTTTTTGATGAAATGCTTTGAAACTCATAATATAAGGATATAGTAGTAGCATAGACAATATGACATGATCAAAATAGCAAGATCTCACGCGCATGCACGTGCGCTTCGCTCTGATCGGCTGAAACTAAAATCTCAATATCTTTCTTGTTTTTTGATGAAATCCTTTGAAATTTTGAACATAGCCATGCATTATGATATCCTACAACATGATATATAACAATTTTCATGAAAACACGTGCATGCACGTGCGCTGTAATCTGATTGGCTGAAACTTTAAACAGCTATAACTCCCTTGGTTTTCAACCAAACAGGATGGGATTTGGAATATAGATAGATATAATAGACTTCTACAAGAAGGTTTGATCACAGTGCACATCCATACGTGCGTGAACGTACGCTGCAATCTGATTGGCTGAAACTTTAATCAGCTATAACTCCCTTGGTTTTCAACCAAACGGAGTTGTATTTAGAACATAGATAGATGTAATGGACTTCTACAAGAAGGTATGTCACCATGCTCATGTATGCACGTGCGTGCACGTGAAATGAGTAAAATCAAAAATACAATTGAATGAGCGTATTTTTAATACTTTTGGATTAAATACTTTTATATTTAGTATATAAAAGTATATAGATTGTGTAGACAAGATGATATAGTCAATACGCACATGAATTCACATGCGCACGCGTACAATGCTAAAATTTGAATGAACTTGGTACCCTTTTCGGTAAACATTGTTAAAGTCTCAAATGCATAAAGTTTGTCTTATTTAATGAAGCTTACAGTGAATATGGCACCAAAAGGGAAATGGGGAGCGTTTGGGGAACATCTGTAACGGTCCCCGTTACAATTAGCACTAGTTTTAATTAGTAACATTGCTCTTCACTTAGTCATGCACCAGACTTCTCAAAACATTAACATTTTATTGTAAATTGCAGTCTTCACATTGTACAAATATTCATACATTCTAGAGGCATTCTGGTATATCTTGCATGTACCGTCAGTAATCTCAGAACTATTTTTTTAAAAATTACCCTTGCATTTCATTTGATGTCTCAAAAATTTATTAAAATTAAGCATATTAATAAGCATAGCAATGATGTTTGTTTTGTTTTTTTTATTTCAATATTTGGACTAGTACTTTAGTGAAAGACTGGTGAATTCTACAAGTTTTATCATGTTCATAGTTCTTGAATGTTTAGAGAAAATTTAAACCCTTGTCTCTATACCAGTGCTAATAAAAGGACTCAGTGTAGTGACCATCACAGTGAAATATCAACACTGATAAACAGATAAAGGATTCAACCTGACGCACTCCATTTTTAAAATGGCCTTAATAATGATCATAGAAACATTGTGATTCATCAATAAATAACTTAATCAAACAAATCAGAAGGATACGGTTAACATAAGACTCCAGCGCCGAGGACATACTGCTTTGCTGGAAACGCTTTCAAAACGAACACAAAAGTACGAGTTATCTTCTCCTTTTCTGAGGAGGGAGAAGCAAGTATTGATCAATCGAGGGACCTATAATTACACAAAAATAAGACTTATTTTTGGCATTGATGGAAATGAAAATGCTATTAAAATGTAAAACATATGATTCTTAATTAGCTATATTAATGAAACGAGCAATTTTAAAGTATATTTTACATTATGACTGTGTAACAATTAGAAAAAATTAAAAGCAATAACACACCCCTTCACTGCACATGCGCGAGAGAAAGAAAAATGTCTGCGCCCTTGAAAATGTGAGCCTACTCAGAGTTCTGCTAGAAAATAAGAAATACTGGAAGCCAGTGGAAGGAACAACATGGCAGCGTTGTTTCTCAAACAGACATCATGTTTACTGAATGCAGTCAGTGAAAATCTTAAAAGCATAATGTGTTGTTCAGAAAGGTAATTAGAAGCACAGGAGTTCGAAATTTTATCAACAAAGTCAATAGAAATCACTCGATTGACCAAGCCATGAGCTACGCATAGCTCATGGCTTGCTCAAATTAGTCAATCGAGTGATTCTATTGACTTTATTGATAAAATTTCGAACTCCTGTGATTAGAAGTGAATATTTAATAATTTATTCAACCAATTTTGGCCCACAGTGGAGCATGATAAGATGCACAGAATCAGTAATTGAGTAAATCTAATAATTAATTGAAAGCAAAACTTTGACCAGGGATGTAATTACATGAGAAAA